GAATAGAAATGACTCCTAAAAATAGGAAAGTACTGCTTTGATAATAACATAAGCTTCATGTTCTCACATTTCTAAGCAATAAATATAGCATGCCAATTGGTACTATAAAGATCCAAAACATATAAATGTTTGGCATTTTTTCAAAAGGGTATTAATAAGAGGATTGACACATACATAAAGATAATCAGCCTCAAGAAAATTAAGGAAAATGGGGCAGGCCAAATAGCTCTGTGGATTAAAGTGAATGCTTAGGCAGATGCAGGGGCGGGGGGGTTGCAAGTTAGATTCCCTGGTCTGCCATACCAGCCCCACCCCCAGGGAGTACTGAGACAGCAATTGAGACTGGGCATGGTAGCACACACCTGTAATCCCAGCACTTGGGAGGCTATAAACAGGAGAATCACTAGGAGTCTGATCTAGTAGTGAGACCCTGTACACCCTGTCCTAAATACAAAAAAGAAAGAAAAGAAAAAGAAAATTAAGGAAAATGATGCTGGTTACAAATGTCCCAATGCTGAGATGAAAGTGTTTCACACATCAACCCCTTGAGGAAATGGGAGTGGCTTCTCTCATGGAAATGTCTGTAAATACCAAAAGGCTGAAGAGGCAGAGTCATCACAGAGATAACTGGGGCCTCCAGGACTGGCAGACCCCCTGCCCAATGTGGCCATGGGCTCCTGGCTCTTGGGCTGTGTGCTCCTTTGTCTCCTGAGAGCAGGTGAGTCCCAGAATAAGTATATGATCTGTGGTTTTATCTTCAAGCCTTTAGTTAAGTCCTTCCCTGAAGACTCAACACTAGGTGCCCCTTGATGGCTTCTTGCTCTTCCTCTTTCTTCACAGGTGGCCCAGAAACACAGGTGACCCAGAGACCCAGACACTTCATCGCCAAGGCTGGAAAGAGCCTGACAGTGACTTGCTCTCAGAATGTGAACTATGACGTTATGTACTGGTATCGACAAGACCCAGGGCTGGGCCTGAAGCTGATCTACCATTCAATTAATGTTGACTTCATTGAAAAGGGAGAGATTTCTGATGGATATAGCGTCTCTTGAAAAGAGAAAAAGCATTTTCCTCTGACGGTGGACAAGGCCAATGCCAGCCAGACCTCCATGTACCTCTGTGCCATCAGTTTATCCACAGTACTGTGCAGCCAGCTGCTCTCTGCACAGAAAGGGCAGCCACAAGAGAGAGAACACGCCTGCCTCTCGGGGCAATCAGAAGGGAAATCCCCCCCAGCCCCCAGTGACCACAGAAGGCCCCTCCCTCTCCCAGTCTTGGGGGCTCTGAGCAATGTGCTCTCCCTTTGGAGCTGAAATCTTTGAATCCAATTGAGCGATTGCCCAAACCAAACATTTTATTTGTGACCCACTCTCAAAATGTTTCCACATCCTACTCTTGGATGCTTTGTAGCTTGGGGAAAACACCACGTTCTGAGTTGACTTTCAATCCAATGTTTTGCCTCCTGTCAGCAGATGATCTCGCTAATCACCAAGACGTGTAAGCCAGAGACGCAGGAGTGATTTCCACAACTCTTGGCGTCCTTCTCCTCCACGTCCGTCACATGTTCCCGAACTTTCCTAAGTACTCATTTCCTTGCCAGCTGTATTATTTTTCTCTCACTGCACTGACAGCACTGTGGGCCAGCGAAGAGCTCCTTTCACCTGGATTCCTCTAAACACACACAGGTAGGCGCCTTGTCTGCCAGCAGACATGCACAATGGGTGCTGATCTTACCCACCCACCACTCCTAAGATTAAAGCCTCTCTCCATGTGTCATTCCATTAACCAGTCAGTGTGTGAGTGTGCGAGTCTGTCCACACCCCTCATGGTGGGGGCTTGTTTACCTGACAGTCTTCCCAGCACGGGCTTTTCCTGTCTTTCCTTCAGCTACCATGGCTGGCTGCATTCTATGCTGAAATGTGCTGCCGTTCTTGGGTATCCAGTCCTTGAACTTGCTTACGTTAAGCCGTTCTCAAAGGGATTCACCGGAGCAGCACTCACCCACCCTGAGATCTATTTTTTGTTAACCTCCTACGTGACCGCGGTGTCACTAAGATTCTTATTAGGTGTCAAGGCCAGAAGAGAAGCTGCTCGAGAGATGCACCCACATGTTAGGGTCTCCATGAGGGGGTCCACACAAGAGCCAGCGCTGTAGCTGTAACTACTTTGTACTCAAGAGTCTTCAAGACTAGCCAGAGCACTTCCCCACCCTCCAGATGTCCAGCCCCTCTCCATGCTAGCAGTTAGCCCACAGCACTGCAGTCGCTTCCTGTCTGTGACACGGGGAGAGGTGGCTGGCTACCTTCCCAAGCCCTGCTCCTCCCAGATGAAGCTACTGTCCCCACAGGGGAGGAGTACTCGGAAGCCTTTCCCACCCCTCACGCCTGAGACACTGAAGCCCCCAGGCCCCAGTCAGTAGGACACTAAAGGACAGCACCTGCACCTGAGCGGTCACTGCCCTCTTCCCTGACTCCTTGTTTGCTGTTTTAGTAGTGCATCCTCAGCCCCCGGGCCTTAGCAGAACAGGGCTGAGTGAGCCCAGCATCCCTCCTTCTCCTCAAGGGATGGACCATGGGGACTCTGCAGAGCCAACAGAACCTTCTTTCATTTACCCATGTGGGCCAGATCACAGCTGAATAGTAATTGCTAATTAATCATAATGTAAGCATGTCAGCGTCCATTGTGCATGTGTAGATTTTGCCAACACTCACAGTCTTGTTTTGGGGGGGAGGGGTTATTCTTTTTAAAATAAAAAAATACAAAAAGAAAGAAAGAATGAAAGAAATTAGACCAGCCTCAAAATTAAAAGACACAGGGTAAACTTGAGTCATTTGTAAGAAAATGGATGTACCTTGAGACCATGATAAGTATTAGGCTTTTCAGTCCTGGCAGAGAGGCCAAAGTAAAAGAAAGGGAGGGAAAAATCTTTATGGAAGAGAACACAGAGAGGATCAATGGCAGGAAGACGGGAGAGGCTTTGACCT